CGGTAATACTGGTTCGGTTCCAAAAAATGCCCACTGAATCGTGAGCACCCCCTACTATTTCTGGATCCTACTCCTTTTCGTGTCTTCCAACGTAAACACCATAGAGATCAGCAATGTGACAAAGATGTGAAGCCACCAAACACTGAGCAACCAACACCATCAAATTCCCAGGAGGTAAGTCCAACACCTTTTATTTCACCTGTTGATACCCTAGCTCCTATTTCGGTTGTGGATGACCTTGACATTCCTATTGCTCACAGAAAGGGAGTCAGGTCATGCACTACCAAGCACCCCATTACCCAGTATGTTTCCTATGACCACATTTCCCCCTCTCACTGTGCCTTCCTATCTACAGTTGATAGCACCCCCATACCCAGAAATGTGGAAAAAGCTTTAAAATATCCTAAATGGATAGATGCTATGAAGGAGGAGATTAATGCCCTCCATAAGAATCAAACATGGGAGTTGGTGGATCTTCCAAAAGGAAAAGACCTAGTGGGGTGTAAGTGGGTGTTTACAATGAAACACAAGGCAGATGGGACAGTTGAAAGGTACAAAGCAACGCTGGTAGCTAAAGGATACACTCAAGTCTATGGTGTTGACTATGATGAGACGTTTGCTCCAGTAGCTAAGATGAATTCAATTCGAGTTCTTTTATCATAAGCTACAAACCTTGACTGGGAATTGCATCAACTAGATATAAAGAATGCCTTTTTAAATGGTGATTTGGAGGAGGAGGTGTACATGGTTCAACTCCCAGGTTTCTGTGCCAAAGGAAGTGAAAATAAAGTGTGCAAGCTAAGAAAGTCCCTCTATCGCTTAAAACAATCTCCTAGAGCATGGTTCAGTAAATTTCATATGGTGGTTCAGAAAGTAGGGTTCAAACAATGTCAGTTTGATCACACTCTCTTTGTAAAGAGATGTCAGGAACAAGTGGTTGTATTGATAGTGTATGTGGATGATATCATCATTACAGGAAACTGGAGCACAAAAATACAAAAGTTGAAGGAATTCCTTGCTTCTCAATTTGAAGTGAAAGATCTGGGACCCCTAAAGTACTTTCTAGGAATTGAAGTTGCCCGCTCAAAAAGGGGCATCTTCATTTCTCAGAGGAATTATATCCTAAACCTGTTACAAGACACAAGCAAGTTAGGTGTAAAACCAGCAGATACCCCTATGGATGTTGGTCATAAATAGGGAGATTGTGATGGTGTTATGGACGCATTCGTGGGGGAGAAGTACCGCCGCCGGCAGCAGCAGTAACGTGGTACCCTCATCAGATTATCTAGCTAGCCACAGTTCATCTTACCTTATCCTTATCTTATCTGCTTTCTTACTCTTATCTTATCTGTTCCAATAAGGATTAGTATAGAGTCTGATTTATCTTAGGGAGTTTTTATCCTTCTTGAGTAGGGAGTCTTATCTAGGAGTCTTATCTATCTTATCTGTAAGCAGTTTAGTTAGTCTTATCTAGGAGTCTTATCTATCTTATCTGT